AACCCACTATTTGTCCGATTACCCATAGTGGCCAAATGTCCCGTCGACCCCCCTGACCGGTCCCAAGCCACGATCCCATCCCACAAACCCACTATTTGTCCGATTACCCATAGTGGCCAAATGTCCCGTCGACCCCCCGTGACCGGTCCCAAGCCACGCTCCCATCCCACAAACCCACTATTTGTCCGATTACCCATAGTGGCCAAAATGTCCCGTCGACCCCCCTGACCGATCCCAAGCCACGATCCCATCCCACAAACCCACTATTTGTCCGATTACCCATAGTGGCCAAATGTCCCGTCAACCCCCCTGACCGGTCCCAAGCCACGGTCCCATCCCACAAACCCACTATTTGTCCGATAACCCATAGTGGCCAAAATGTCCCGTCGACCCCCCTGACCGGTCCCAAGCCACGATCCCATCCCACAAACCCACTATTTGTCCGATAACCCATAGTGGCCAAATGTCCCGTCGACCCCCCTGACCGGTCCCAAGCCACAATCCCATCCCACAAACCCACTATTTGTCCGATAACCCATAGTGGCCAAATGTCCCGTCGACCCCCGCTGACCACTCACAAGCCATACCCCCGTCCCGCCAACCAACTATTTGTCCGATTGCCCCCTATAGTGGCCAAATGTCCTGTCGAACCATGCAGAGTTTTCAGATTGTAAAAATGCACATACATTTAGATAATTCAAAATCTTTTCCTTACAAATAAAATATACTTGTGTTCAAACCTAGTATGCCTGGTATGGCCTTATGTGATTCCATTAAGGTACAATGTTGCCTCGAGGCAACATGCAGTTTTATGTAATTTCCTATGATACATTTGATGATATATAATGTAATGTTTTTGAAAATACTTCTTTACTTACCAGTGAAGGTGACTAAAATTTGTTGTAGTTGATTATCTGGACAGAAATTAGTGAAAAATGCCCTTTTCAGTGGAGAAAATATGGAGCCATGTGACATGTGCACGTGTGCTGAAAGAGGGAACACAATGGACCCCTGTGGGTCATGTGTCCACTCTTTTGCACTTTCATTGATTAGTATTTGAGTTCCCCTCCCCTTAGGGAGCATTGACCAATAAAATTGTATTAATTTTTATTTAAAATAAGCTAAAATAGACTGTTGCCTGGAGGCAACACCGTAAATGCATTTCTCTACCACATGTTTATCTGTGAGTTATAACTGCACCACGCGCATTCATTATTGTACATAAGACAAGAAAGCAAGTCAATTCGATTTTATTCCGTCTTGTGCTATTCACAAAAGACTGTTTCAGAGCAGCTTTACAGGGAAATGTTACAGTAACAGTGACTTTACTTCCAGAAGACCTGCAGTTAGCGATTCAAGGGCAACGGCGGGAAGGAACACAATATGTTAATGTTACTGGAGATGAAAAAATATATATAATATATCAGCTAACTGAATAATAGCAGCACAACATGCATCATTTTCACATTAATCTGTTTTATACTGTGAATGTGAATAAATTGGGTTCTGCTGTAAAAATACAAACCACACATTTTAGTACATAAACTCAATTCAGCAGCTTTTTAAAACAGTGAAGGCAAACAAATTAAACATTATAGTTTATATCTTAAGTAATTTCCAGTTGTTAGATGGGGAAGAACAATGTGCATTTACTTTTGAATTGCAATATATTGTATGTGTATAGCATGTGCCAGACAATAATACATCAGCCAATGTGTTAAGGTTTACAGAATAAAAACTTTTGCTTATTTAGTTTTTATTGCACAAAAATATATTTTTTTTACTAGGGAAGATTTTTAATGGATGTATAAATTACTTTTGTTATCATTACTATGCTAAGTGTCATTAATATAAAATATTAAATCAACTGTTCTATTAAAAATGTAATAACTGATGACTGACAAGGCAGTATCCCAGTAATAGAGATTCATCGGAATGTTCATTTATTCGATGACTTCAATACAGATATAGGGGTGAAGTCAGTGAAATTGGGACACTTTTTGGTAAAATGTATTTTAAATACAAATAAATGTATTCTACCTATTAATGTTTCAAGGTCTCTTGCATCTCCAACTATGGGTTTTGAAGGAATATGGGTGTGATTTTTTATAAATTAAAAAAGGATAAGAAGCTATTTTCCTTCTACAGCTGTTTTCTGGTAAACTGGGACAGTGCAGTCGGTATAAAGTGGGACATTTTCACCTAGTCTGTGCTTGGATAATAAAATTGCTTACAATTGGATATATACATATTTAATTGCCCATATTTTAATGTATGTAATAATGAGAGCATGACTATCTGACATTACAGTTTACACTTGGGTATAACAAAAAAACATGTGGGTTTTTTTCTTCAAAATCTAGATTTATGGTTGTTAATGTGTGTGGCTCCAACGCATTCTCATCCCAAAGCGTAATATATTGACTCTTTTGCCAAAGCGTCTATATCCAACGCACATGGCACCCTTTAGCGTCAATATAACACGTATTTGAGATGCCACCATTGGTCACTTTTAGTATGACACCATTTTAATCACATTTGAGCCTTTTTTTTTTTCTTCTTTTTTTTTTTAAAGTCATGCGCCAAACATGAAGTCCAAATATTCCATGAAGACTCTCATTTACTATGAGCTCATAAAAAATGTGTGTATGACAACTATGAACAAATGTTAGAAATTCTGGATGAAGGACTGCATGTCATGTTTCATGACCCTTTTTACATGTGAAGCATTCATAAGGATTGCATTAACCCAGTGGACAGAATATTACACATTTGTGGTCCATTATGTTATCCTGTGCTCACAGCACACGATACAAGAAAATAAATCAATACACGAATTTTGATATGTTACATATATACGCATTTGTGAACTGGTCTGAGTAAGAAGTTTTGGCCTTGGTTCGTAGATATAGGAGCACATAAATTATGATTTGAAAAATCAAGGGGCCACATTTACACATGGATTTTTGGAAAGCTACTGGATGATTATGTCAGTAATGGTTATTTAATAATAACAACTACAATATCAATCCAGATGTTCCTGAGACAAAAAAGACTAAACAAAATTATTACAAAAATGCAAATATCAGCTAATAGGGCTCAAGAGAGCGGTTGCCAGCATCTTTGGTGGCCTCTCTCTATGCAGCGTCCTGCTTCATTCAAGTTAAAATGACAACTGACCCTTAATTGAGGGGTGTTTAGTGAGCGGGTCAGTCTTTTCCATGCTGCTCTGAACACCAGGGGAACTAAGAGCTCCCGCCATACACGCAGCTCTTCCTGTTGAGAGAGCGAGCTCAGATATCCATGAGACTCATTAAGCTGCAGGAGAAAGCCTTCAGCGGGTGACGCTCGAGGCGAGCAGCTTTTCTCCAGATGAAGTCAAGGCAGTAATAGTGAACGAGAAACACAGAAGCCTTGTCACAGAACACACCGTTTCAATGTAGCAATTTCACTTCCGTGTTTAAATGCAATTCTGAACTCACCAGTGCCACAATATTTGTAGGATAATAAATGAAAATGAACCCACTGAGCTAATAACATTCAGAATGACCAGCTAAGATGCAACAAACTGATTCCTCCAGAAGTGATCACATCAGTACAACGGGCTAAAAAAATAGCTTTTCACTACTCCAATAATGTATTTAATAAAGCTTTACAGTAGTGACAAATAAATATATTTTATTATATGATTAATATCATATTTTTAAATATGATGGTTTCATTATAAATATGGTGACACCCAATTTCTATATGATATTCACCATCTGAATCTAATGTCATGTCAACAAATGGAAAAGTCAGCCAGCTGTTTATTATCATGTTAATTATCGTGTCTTTCGCTCCAACAGCAAAGGCGCCTTTTAGCCCAAATATACCATACATTTACCTATTCTTCCGATATTGAAAAACTGCTTTAATTGCCTTGAATAAAAATTTAATTAGCACAGGATCAACTTTGCGTTGCTGTTCACGATCGTGTCAAGGATCAACCAAATTTCCACGTGCATCTTGAAAAGCGGTTGTTGAAGTCGCCCTGTGGTGAAAATCGAGCTTTTAATGTTGTTTATGTGTCTATGTGCTGTTTTTAATGTGCTTCAAGACAAACCATAAATAAATTCATAAGTCGACAGCATTGCTGAGTATTTTCTCCTTAAAACTGCAGTGAACCAAAGACGTCGAAATCGCTGGTGTTTCTGACGTCATAAACAACCTTGTAACCAAACAGATCAATGTGTGATCGTCAACCAGTGGATGTGTGGAGGCGGGGCTCATTTGTATATTCATAGAACCACAAGGCAAGGGTGTCGAATTACATTCAAGATATTTTAAGGCATGAAGATTTTTTTTCCAAGGAAGAAACGTTTAAATATGTCATTTTGGTGGTCAAAGATGAGCTTTAAGGGATAAAATGATTGATTTCAGTGGGACTTTAAGAAAAGCGCTGAGCTGAATTGTTGTGCTATCTAGTGGTTTAAAAGAGAATAAAGTCAAATGCGCCTTTTACCCCGGCGCGCCGTTGTACCCAACTGTTAATCTACTAAACCTAATTTACATGTCGTGTTAAAAAGCGGGTTAGAATGAGAACAATATGTCAAAATCCTTCTCATTATATCCTGAGACAAAAATAAAGACAATAAAATAATAATAATAATTCAAACGCAACAAATAAATAATATTATCTTAAGTTCAAAAATTTAATTTTATGGAACATTGACAGAATATAATATTACAAATACTCATATTACAACCAACTGATGAACAATCTATATAGGCCGGCCTATAGTTGACAAACACAGTTCAGATTCAGGGTCCTTTATTCTATACCCGTAGGTAAAGTAGATTTCAGTGAACAAGTTCAGGCTGTTTCTCATACATATATCATAGACAATACAACAGACAACAATATAAAAACACTAACCCCTGAATATTACAATAGTTTGGTAAGGAGTTTGGCTTTGAGTGTGTTTTGAGGAGGTGTGATCTGTACTGTAGACTCATGGCTCTTTTCCAGTGAGAGGCGGTGGAGATCAGATCATCTGAGCTCGGATCACAGCAGTGGTGCACAGCTCACTGCCACAGTCACAACACTGTGACATCCATCAGGGATTTCACTTTTCTTCTTCTTTTTTTGTTTTCCATCAAACGGGTTCAGACTGAAGCATCCCTCAAAGCGGGTGGCTTTTGGGTGATCTGAGGAGGCTCACTGTCCCACCTAAACCGGTAAGTGAGCTTTAGCTCGTTCACTGTGATGGGAGTGAGTGGGGTTTGCTTTGCTCTGAGATTAAACTACATTTTGTTTACCTAAATTCGCTAAATTATTTTCGGTGACTGTGCTGTATAGCTTTCTTGCTATTTAAACCATTAACACGCCGTGTGCAATAGCCAAAACACACAGATCATAACGCACCCGTTACACTCAATAAAGACGCGACGCGTCAAACTAGAACGCTTGCATTACTAATCAAGACGTGACGCGACAACCCGGAACGCTCTACAATTACTTTTCAGTGACATTTTTAACGAGTCAATTAGAATCAGTTTAGGAGCTATTCACGCAGAACGCGAAGTTGCACTCATAAACAACACGATGCATTAGAATAGATATTGAACAGAACGCAGCTAGAGTCCAGACGCGCGTTTAAACTTTAACTTCTTAAACTTGACACGGCGAGACAAAATAGAACACAGACATTAACGATGACACGAGATTAGATCGATAGCACATTGGTTTAACTTCTGTGGTGTTGACACGAGATTACAACGCAGGCTTTTTCCTGATAAATCATCGCTGATATAAAAACGCGTTCCTTGTTTTCCGTTCCAACGCAAGAACGGGCCCTAACGCGTCAATGCTCGGCAAATTCTTTGAAACAGCTACAGGTGTAATCCATATGTTTCAGGCTGGAGAACGTCATGACAGCCGAAAAGACGATCCCCATAATAAATGGAAAAGCAGATGAAACGATGGACCCCGAAGCGCCGAGCCCGAGCGCGGTGCGCAGCAATGATAAGAAGGTGGTGAATGAGAGAGGACAGTGGAATAATAAGATTGAGTTTGTGCTGTCAGTGGCTGGAGAGATTATCGGTCTTGGCAACGTTTGGAGGTTCCCATATCTGTGTTACAAGAACGGCGGAGGTAAGAGATTATTCATTCATTCTCATTCAATGACACACTTCACCAACTCCTGTCAAAGGCTGATGGAGTTTTTTCTTGTACTTTGCCCTTCATGGCAGATATGAACATGCCTCTTTATGCAACAGATATTTCTTCTTTCCCTTTTGTAAAACTCTAAGGTCTTTTTAAAGTCCTTCCACAACTATTTCATATTTATTTCCATCCATGCTTTTAAAGTTTTGCTAGATAGCACATTGGTTTAACTTATGTGGTGTTGAATGAATTATACGTAAACATGAAAAGAATATAGGTTATATGGCAATGCCATTGTACTTTTTGGATTTAGTTACAGTGTGTTTTAAAAGGGCAGCTATAACACAGCTATTGTGGCCATGTGATTTACTACTAAAGTCAGAATAGGCATATATCTGATATAGCTGAGCCAACAGTGAAAAAGCAGTACAAAATAATTTTTAGAGAGATGTGAGAGGTGTAACTGTATGTGTCCTTTTTTAGGTGCTTTCTTTGTGCCTTATGTCATCTTCTTCGTCTGCTGTGGGATCCCAGTCTTCTTCCTGGAAACAGCACTAGGTCAGTTCACTAGTGAAGGGGGCATCACATGTTGGAGAAAAGTCTGCCCACTCTTTGAAGGTAAGGCCTAGTTCACATTTGTCTCATTATTAGTTTCCTACTCATTAGGTTGAACATACATCAACACTGGATTATACAAAAGAGGATGTAAAACTGCATGATTTCCTGTCTTTAAGCAATGGTTATATGTCCTCTTATAGGCATTGGTTATGCGACCCAAGTCATCGAAGCCCACCTGAATGTTTATTATGTGGTTATATTGTCTTGGGCCATTTTCTACCTGTTCAACTGCTTTACATCAGAGCTGCCCTGGGCGTCGTGTGGTCACTACTGGAACACGGGTTGGTATATTTTGAGGATACAAGCAAGCATTTATAAGAATTAAGTAAAACATTGTAATGCATGATTGACAAAAACTGACAAAATTGTTTTAACAATTGCCTTCTAGAAAACTGTGTGGATTTTAACAATGAAAGCATTGCCAACTTCACCAACCCATATTCCACATCACCAGTCATTGAGTTTTGGGAGTGAGTATGATTCTGACTGTTTAGCAGCGTTGCATACATAAAACTGTACATATTCCCAGCAGCTGTTTGGAGCAAATTCTTATAAAGATCAGGGGGATCTCTGGGATCACCAGCAATTCACAAAATAATGAATATGCACAGTGACACGCTGGCTTTCCAGGCAACTTTTGGCACAGTTTATCTGTAGAGCAGTCGACTACTGCCTATTATCCATGGAAATCCATAATCTTTTTCACTGATAATTTGTCATTCTTTTTGCATTGCTGTTGTCAACAAGCATCAAAAGGGCACTTGCACAGCTAGGAATGGTATGGACACAAATTTTGCCATAGTTGGCTTGTTTTTTTCAACACATTTTCATACTCAAGGCCAAACACAGAGGAGAAGCAGTCTCTAACAGTTCAAGCATGTTGGCCTCAGCCTCACACATTGAGCATGCAGGACTCTAGTACCGAGAGGCACAGAAGCTGTCAGTTCTGAGGTTGAATGGTGAAGGTTTGTTCAAAGGGGGCATGGCCTAGGCACTGGATGTCACCCAAGAACATGTCAAAGATGATAAATGGCAGTGCAAGAAAGAATTGTGGCTTTTCCTCGCAAACTTGCAATTCATTGCGCCACAACCAATCAGTGTTAAACAAAACTTCTGGCCACCTTAAAGTTTGCACAAATAGTTGGGCATGTGCAGTTGGCTTTCCTGGAAGTCAGAGGCTCTTGGAATTGTGATGGATATCATTTTACCTGTACCAATGTTTTGGGGTCATTGCACATTGTGCGCATCAGAAAGTGTCCAATTTAGTCCGATGCGGGTGTTAAAGATGTTGGATTTTATATATGATATATTCATTTTTCAGTGGTAGTCTTTTAAAGCGACAGCGAGTCGACACACAAACCCACCTACCCTCATTTATTCGTTTCATAAAGCTGACTCTAAGTACTAAATTCAGTTCTTTTTCACTGCTTATAGCACGTAAACAGTCAAATACACACGATGATGTCAAAATGCCGGTCATGGCGAGTATTGACGTAAACACAGTCAAGTGAAGGTAAACAGTTGAGAAAGAAAACGCATGTGTAACAGTATAATGGATCCGTGCATTAGGTCTTAAAGTCATAGCAGCCTAACATACCTGCTGATAAATTATTAGATCATATAAAAATAGATGTATGGCAGTTTTTCCCCATGGTACTGATGTCACAATTGTGGCCGGTGAAAATGCTAAGTAAGTGGCTAGTAACTTTGGAAAACCACTGGCCACAGTGGCTGGTGAGTTAAAAAGTTAATGTCAAGCCCTAGAGCAACCTTAGAAAACTGCTCAAATGAACCTTGCAGTATGTAATTGCCCTTTTGTCTTGTGTTCATATGTTGCATGCCTGCTTGAAAAGTAATTTTTTCGGAATGTTTTGCCTTCTAGACGCCGTGTTCTCAAGATATCCTCTGGAATTGAAGAAGTTGGCAGCCTTCGCTGGGAGCTCGCTTTCTGTCTACTTCTAGCTTGGATCATATGCTATTTCTGCATTTGGAAAGGTCCAAAGTCAACTGGAAAGGTAAAAACAAAAGGTCCAGTGACCAGAAATGGTGTTGAATGTGTGTAGATGTTAACCAAAGAGTGAGAGGCTGAGTTGGAGATGTCTCAATGAGAGACTTGGATGAATAGGAGAACTTAGCACCCTAATGTTATGCAGTCAATTCAGCTCAGAATCAATTGGGTGAGTGAGACATGCAGCTTGAGATGTTATCAGCGTAACTCTGACATGTGCAGCAACAATGTGGATCCAGTGATTTGAAAAGGCTCAAATGCAAACGTTATCTGCACATAAAGTGATAAATATTTGAGGGCACAATGCCACGTTGAGGCTTTAGACCTATATTGAGAGAATGTCAGCTGTCAAAACTACAGACTCGCATATCAGACAGACAGGCATCAAAAAGGCCACTGAACAGAAACCGGCAACCTTCCAGAAGCCGAACGGAAATGTAGTTGCACAAACGTTCATCCTTACAATAACCAAATGGTTTATTGGTAAACTCAAACCAAACTACTGTGAAAAAGTGCCTTTGGAAAACAAACAGTTTGCATTATTCCTGTGTCTTGACCACAAAATGCAGCTCTGGCCTTCCTCTACCTTCGCCTTGTACCCACAATCCATTGCATTATGAGGGCCTGTGTCCCTCTGCCAATCTCTGCAACACAGTCACTAGCCTTCCTCTGGATTCTATTCTTCCAGCAGCCTTTAAGAAAGTCTAACGGACTCAATGAGCCAGAAAGAAAGTGAAAAGAAAGGAAGAGGGATGTGTGGGGAAAAATAAATGGGTTCACATTGTACAGGTCCAGGAGAAAAGCTCGGCAGCAAGGCCTATATCTCCTGAAGTGGCTTTTGTTTGGCCGTGAAGCAAGGGGAAAGAATGCTCCTTCATGGCGAGGCTTTAGCAGCCTGTCCAAGATTGATTTCTGTATTCACAGGGGGAAAGTGGAGCGTTCATGAGGAGCATGCAGAGTTCCTCCACTCGCCTCTTCTCTTCTGTGAGGAATTATGTCTGGCGGATAGCAAACTGCTTTCTTCCTTTCCTTTGACCGCTATACAGATTGCAGCATTCAGGACATTTGCTAAGCTGTTCATCGCAGGTCTTTTGTGGCTGTTTGCGCTTCTCCCATAAGCCAGCAGTAGATTTATGTCATGGGGCTGACCTGTGAATGTGGGGCTTAAATGTTTGACCAGGGAGAGTTGGGAGAAAGTCAGCGTGCGTCAAAGTTTCATGCCGAGTTTAAACATTGGTCCATTCATTGAGTAAAACCACACGCATGCATCTGAAAGCCTAGTGGGGTTTTCGCTCATTGCAGTGGCCATGGTTTTTGGATGTGGATATGTAATCATTTTACAAGACTAATTGAAAAGGGTGTGAATTAGTGAGCTGGACGAGCTTTGCCTCGCTCTTACTGTGAGGTGCATTGGGATTAAAAGATCTCCTTTGTCATACTCTTACAGATCTCTGCTTAACACAGTTGGTTTGTTTATTCCATTGGATTACTTGGTTAAGAAACGTTACGAAAATGGACAGCGATTATCATATTGCGGTTCAATACATTTAGGCGCAAACGAGAAAGAGTTTTTTGTTAAGGAAGCATTTTAAAAGACAAAAACTTCCTGTCACAAAGGGCAAAGCATTTGTTCATTAATGTAAAGATTACTGTCGTTTGGTACAGTAAATTACCCAGGTCAGATTGAAGTCATCGGCAATTGTAAGTTTCTGTGCCACACATTTTCCCACACTGCCAACACAACCCAGTTGGGCTCCTTCTGGAGGGAGACAGGGTAGAAGGTTTTGTGTCCAAACCCTGTCTTGTCCTCGTATGGTCTTGACCGGGGGCCAGAGGAACAAGAACCTAGTGCCGCCCCCAAGGGTGGTTTTGTTCACGGGATTGAAAGAGCTTCAAAATGTTGAACTCATTTCTGTGGGTTGTGAATGCCATTTTGCAAAAGCATTTTAGGTTCTCAAACTTGAAAGTATAGTAGAGAAGAATCACGTTGTGATCTTATAACACTGTCGGTCTGATTGCGCTGAGGATTCCCGCCTCTGTGTGTCTTGGGAGACAAAGCTCTTACACTGATTGGTTGAGACTTGGTAATAATTCAAGACTCTGAACATCATGTTGACAAGTCACAACATGATGGTGGCCTGGCTATTCTATTTTTGTCTTTTTTTATGTACTGTGTTGCACTGTGGAGTGTTTTCTCCATCAAAACCTCTGGCTCAGACCTGCATCCGTTCCTCCCCCTTAGAGTAACTCTTTCAATCAGCGCTCAATTAAGGCTTTGGGAGAGTACCTGCCCCTTCTGGCAGACCCTCAGAGCATTCTGTAACCCCTTCACGTTAAGTGCACCGCTTCATTCACTCAATCATTCATTCCCTCGAATCCCTTACTTTGAAAGGTATACTAGTAAGACATCTGATTTGCACATGATAGCCCATCACAAAATAGGGTAAAAATGTGTTTGGTCTTCCGATCACAGACAATTTGACCCATTAACTTAATTTTAAAGGAATAGTTAAGAACAAATATATTTTGTTGTATGCTTCCACTTTGGAACTAAAAAGGAGAAATTTTAAACAATCTTCACACATCTCTTTTCCATACCATGCCTTTTAATGACCAAAAAGTACAAAAACACTATGCACCATTTTTTCTGAAGCCATTTAAAGCTGCAGTCCGGCATTTTTCCTCTTTGTCGACATCTCTGTTTGAAATCTGTAATTGCAGTTATTCGCGGAATTATTAACTTTGCGTGAGTTGCACATCGGCATGAAACAGCGCGGATGAACACAATGTTTTGAGACTGCGAGTCTGTCAGTCACCGCGCCGATGTGGAAACTGGCATTCAGAATCACACATTCTACTTTTGGAAGTAGGCCTACAGTATGACCATGACAACATACGAATTTTCATCGGAAAATGTCATCTGAACAAGTAAGTAACATCCACATCAACTAAGGGGGGAAAGCCTTGCAGTAAATCGTGCTGATTAAATATAACGATCGCGTCAAACCTTTCAAATTATACTTTGTTCTCAAATTATCAACATCAGCATTGTGACTACATTTAATGTGTATTATGATTACACTGTAGTTCAGTTTCTATTTCTGTGCAGTCTAATTTCTAATTGGCATACCAATAAATTAATGTTTCTTTACTGGTTTTCTTTGAGAAAAAAAAAAAAAAAAAAAAAAAACACGTATCTGTAATCCGATGCATATTTAAAACTATATATAATTTCGGAGGAGGCCGGTTTGGTTTGCTTGGAGTAGAGGTGAATTGCTCCCTCTCATAGCTAGCACAAAATATTTACCATAATAGCTAAACGAATAAAGACAGGAAACTGCGTAACTGTGTGAATTAATCGAACAAGTGTGCTACTGTTACACGATTGAACTATTGAAATGTCTTACCTGTCCTAAAAGAAAAAAAGCCGTCTCTGCGTCCGCTTTGAACCGATGTTTATCCTTGTTTTCGCGTGGGCCAGTTGCAGTCTCTTTTTTCTCTAACGTTACCCACTCCGAAGTCCGAATTATTTGGGGTTTTACAAGTGGTGAATGTCCAGTTGTCCCTGGTGATTGTCGTTTGAACCTTTCTGGATCCGCCATAAGTTTAATTATTTAATGCTGTGAGAAAAGGCTAAAAATGTCCACCTCCAACATCCTCACGCAATATAGCCGACTAGCCGGGACGCCTTCTTTATGTGTACAGATGTGACGTAATGACGCAAAGACATGCTCGAATTTCCCGCGGAAATCCACCAGTACCACTGGAATTAAAATCATTATTACAAGCTAACCGTTTTGAATCGGGCAAAAGCAAGCAGATATTTTTGAACACTGGCTGGTTATGTTTTTTTTAATTATTATTATTTTGGATAATTTTTAACCCAAAAAAGTTACGGACAGCAGCTTTAAGCCATTTTCCAAATTGTAACTGACTTTTACAGAGAATCTATTCACATTCAGATTATGGTATGCCACAGATCCTGACAAATATCCCGTCATTGAGAAATATCTTATCTTGTAAAATGTGTGGTCAGTACTGCCGCTCCCTATACACAGAGTTTAAAGATGTTATGGAATTGTATTGGCATGGTTCAAATCATACTTACCTGACCGTTATCAATTTGTGGCAGTAAAATAAGAGGTGTCATATCGATCGCAAATTCAGTATGGAGTACCACAAGGCTCAGTACAAGGACCGTTGCTTTTCACCCTGTACATGCTACCCTTAGTCCCGAGCTTAGCATAGTCAGCCGGATCTGGGCCATATCTAGATCAGATGTTAACCTGCACACGACCTTGAAACAAAACTGCCGTGATGCCAAAACGTCTTATGGAAGATGAAAGCTGTGGTGTTTACTACTGTGACAATTAGTGCTTATCAGGATCAACTAAACAATGGATTTTCAAAATAATGTGAATAATGTGAAGTTCACAGCATAGACAGCATAGACTCTGAAAATACGTCTGAAAGTTTCACACGTTGGTCTGTTATTGTAGCAACATTAACTTTACATTTTCACGCCCCTAAACATGACCATGAACAAAATGAATTGTGATTGGTTGCTTTACATGTCAGTCAGACGGCCTCTGGGCGGTCCTTGGCCTTTAAAACTGCTATGGAATCTTCCATCGGTCTAAAGGTCTTGCTACGCGAGACTAACAAGAACCATACCAATCCCCTACACAGATCCCGATGGCCAGCTTCATCTCCATACCGGCATAATAAATCCGATTTTCAAGCAGAAGGAACTGGATGAAATATTTTAAATGAAACCAATCCACAATCTGAATTTTTAACTTGTGATGCAGCCTGGAATTAAACCACACCAAGTTTGGCCAGAGAAGAACTGACTTGACTTTAGCTGAACAATTAAACTAATTTTTTTAGAGCTGCTTTACAGAGCTACAATTGAACTATGTTTGCATCATTAAATCATTATTTTCCAGATGATCACTCTAACGCTGCTTTAAAACAATCTGTATTGTATAAAGCACTATAAAAATAAATGTGACTTGACTTAACAGAGTATGCATGATTGTGAATTGGAAAGCATTGAAAGTGATCTCAATACCCCACATATTGATTGAGGCTCCTTGATGCCCGCAAATGATATAGAATATAATTACCCAACTATATAATTGCGAGAGAACGTAAAAGCATTGAAATATATTTTTTCCTCCCATCTCACAATTTTTCCAATAGGGGCTCCGTAGATATTGTCATTTGCTTTCCATACATAGTATTCGGCTTTGGGCACACCCTTATAAATGAGCCTATATTGTATTTTTTAGTGTAGCAGATATGTCAGTGCAGCAGCGTGTTCGAATGTAAATAAAGTTTGAGTGAAATAGAAGCAGCATCTGTTGTTTTCACTTGATCGAGTGATAACTACTTTATATGATTTAAAGTACTTTAATGGTTCTTTATGATGGTTTTTTTTTTTGTCCTTTTTGGAACATGTCACATGTGGTCACAATAAACTGTTGTTGAATGCAAAGAGCTGCATGATGATTCTTCAAAATGTATTTTTTTTTAGTTTGTTTGTTTATGTAAAAAAAACTATGTAATACAAATTTGGAAATACATGAAAGAATAAATGATGACTAGAATAGATTTAGAATAGATTCAGCGTCTCCAAAGATGTGAACATGTGGTGCAGCTTGACGACCTTTCTTCATGCCCATGTTTTCCCTCTGCAGGTGGTGTATGTCACTGCAACCTTTCCTTATTTCATGCTGTTGATCCTTCTTATTCGAGGAATCACACTGCCAGGAGCTGCAAATGGAATTAAATTCTACCTGTACCCTGATATGTCTCGTCTGTCAGATCCTCAGGTATGACAAATCTTGTTCAATTTTATTCAGTGTAACTGCACTTTAAATGGATTTAATACACAGCTGTCTTTCTTTATAGTTAAATAGTCTTATAGTTACATAAAAATGTTCAAGCACCTTCTTTAACAACAATCAACCAGGGGTGTGTTTCCCAAAAGCATCATTATCCAACTATGGTCAAAAGTTCTGCCGTTATCAGTAGTTCAACGAGTCGGTGTATCCCGAAACCATCGTTGTGTGTTTGGAACGACAGATCTCAAGCTGTGGTTAGAAGCAGAGTTTCTTGTTTGCATGACATGTGGACTCAATAAATCCTGATCTTGAGCCAAATAAGCAAGCTGACATTCAGTACAATCTATATCTTTTATTTAGAATACGTACTAATGTCATTTAGTTTGTCAAGAGATTTAAAGTGTCATTTTTGAAAAGTGCGCATGTGCAAATGTGCTCTACTACATATGAACGAGCCTTTGATTGAATTTGTAAATAAAGCAAAATAACTGAGAAAAATGAGAAATAGTCGTAAGATGCCATGTCCGTAATTTATAGTAAAACATCTCGCATTAATTAGATCTCAAACAGATTCATTAAAAGTAGTTATTACTCCACCACCTGCGTGACGTAATAAACCAACGTGTTCGAACGACCAATTTGCGACACAAAGGTTTCGGGAAACAGTCGTGACTAGCTAGTTGATTTCTTCAGCGATGCATCGTACTATAGTAGTGAAGCAGCGAGTTACGCTTGTATGGGAAACACACTCCAGTACGAGAATAGTGAATGGAAATTTCACCAATTTCCAAATCAAATCCTTGACATTTTTATTGTGTGTTTAGATAGGAATTAAATCACACAGTGGAAACATTTAATAATTTCAGTGTTTCCATCAATTAAATCATTTCAGTTTTTATACTTCTCATTGTTCATTATCCTTCTACCATTGCTTTGGCAAAGCATCTGTCAATCGAACTAAAATTTAAATCACGATATGGCTTAGTGCACTTGTAAAATCGCAAAATGCTGCGATTTAATTGAATAAGTGTAGTCTGTTGCGCTGGGTGTTTGATAGCGAAGCGTGGCACTGTGTCTGCAGATCATGATCTGACGGTGTTTTCAGCATCTCAGAAGCGGCTCGGTTCTCAGCTTCTGACACAAACTCCATCTTTGCATGTGCATACATTTGGGAACGCAACATGCGCCAGTTACACTTTTATTTTCACTTTCAGATCATTCCCAGCATTTTTTTTGGATGATTACAGCATTTCATTGGATTTGTAAAGAGAAGCGTTTGTGAACCTGTTGTCACAGTTTACGCCAAAATAAAAGTTTTTGGCAAGTATTAAGATATCGGTATTGTAGTTTTACTACTGTAAGCTAAAATACCAACACACTCTCATCCTTTGGCGTCATATACTGTAGGTGACGCCATATGACATTTCGTCGAAATATTACGCACATGGCATCCTTTAGCGTCAATATTACACGCACTGTTATGGGTAGGTTTAGGTCTGGGTTCGGGTTATGGTTATGACGCCTTGGGATCTGCGTCTCATATTGACGCTAAAGGATGCCATGTGCGTAAGATTTCGACGAAATGTCAAAGCGTCAAGGTCACCTGTATGACGCCTTGGGATGAGAACGGGCTGAAAATACTATACTTATTATGAAATATGTAAAAAAAATTTACAACGCAGTTGTTTTACAATAGAAATGTATTTCTTTCTTAGAGATGCACATGCCCCTAGATCGCCTTCGAGGTCCATCCATCAAACTCTCACGAAATCCTGTGAGAAACATGTAGACTTTGTACTCAATCATTATCAGATAATAGCAGGTTATGGAGGGGGCAAATCTCTCCTTTATCAAATGAATTTATGAAAGAGAAATTCAGCCCCTGAAAACTTAATTTACCTTAACGTATGACAGTAAAACCAAAGATGACTAGATTTAGTTCAGCTGGAGATATAAGTAACACAAGTATAAATCTTTTAAATGGAATTCATTTTACTGTGAGATGCACTAATGAATAGTTTACCAAAAACAAGAAAAAGGAACTTCTCAGGTGAAGATTTATCATTCTAAATTCATTAAAAATAAAAATATATTTGATCTCCTGAGCAGATATCTGAGACTGAAAAAGCTGCTTTTCGAGGTCCAGATTTGACCATCCATCTCATGAAGCCAACTATGTCCTGCAAATCCTTTCAGATTACTTTCTTTAGACTGTTGTCTCAACTGTGACTCTATTTGCTGATCCTTTCGAAATGAGTGAAAAAATCTGCCTTGTATTTTTGCTGAAGGTGAATTGAGATGTTTTTGTCCCGGTTGATGGTTAGCTTAAGCCATGGCTCAGGATGTTCTCTTTAGGTTAAAGTACAGTTCAGTTTAAAAAAAATCACCACAAGATTTTGGGCCCTTTCCAGAATCCAAATTTAATTTAATCCCTGGCTAAAGTTCTTAAATAACACCTAACAATTATTTACACCGTGCAAAGAAAAATACTGCTATTTGTATTGAATATTTTTCCTAGTCTAACAGAGATTTAGAATAACAAAAGAGTTTGTTTTCCACATCTAACTGAATTGATGAACATGAAGGAATCAGTGGCAAGTTTTTCCGGAAGCAGGGATCTCTCAGGACATTTGGTGGGATTACAGGATGGCTAAACATCAGACATGTGTCATGCTCCACCGTTTCATCATCCCAGTGAAAGCAGGACTGAAGGAATGTATGTGAAGTAGCTTCGATAGCCTGAGAGAGCAAGAGACATAAAGCAACGCAGTGAAAGAGAGAGGGTGACAAAGGGCTGCTGTTTGGCGATGGGGCTCCATCGACACCAGTGTTTAATTAGCTTTCATGCCACACAATAAGAGGTCTGTTCACATTCTCTATGCTTCCTTGTTTTATTCTCCATCTTCCTTCACAATACCACCAGGCAATTCAGATTTCTGTGCCTGAGAGTTTCCATTTAACTGCATGTTTAGAGAATAGAAATTATGCCTGATTTGGACAAAATCATCTTTTTGGTGTTTTGTGATTTCTATGGTACTGTGGATGACAAATATCATCATTGAAATTGACTAATATTGTCATATTATATTGCATAGACTCAACTATATGCAAAAAACCAAACAACCTGTCCATGTTGGCATCTGTGTGATTTGGCTTGATTCTAAGTGAGAGATGAATTTGCGCCAAAGTACCATATTGGACGCAAAGCCTTTGACAAAAAAGGGAGACATTTTATCCTTCTTTTTTACAGTTAATAAGTCTTTTTTTACTGTTCTAACTAGTTGCATTTTATTAAATGCCTTTAGCATTGTTTTTTCCCCTCATTGATGACTGTCTGGTATTAGAATTGTGCTTACTTAATAATGTTGGGTTAAAAATAACCCAACTATGGGGTGGTATAGCACCTTCCTGTCCACCTACCCTAACTGTGGGTTATTTTAGCCCAATGCATTGGGTTAAAAGCCACTTGGGTTAAAAGTAACCCAATAGTTAAGTTAACTATTTATTTTTATTTATGACATTATTTTAATAAATAAAAAACACTTTGTTTTCAAACACAGATTGGTCATTTGTATAAAGCAATAAATATGTCTCAACAAATATATATTTAAATTACAAATATTGGAGAATTTAGTCTAGAATTTAATGTAAATACACATAATTGTGTACATCATACAACATACATATTTAACCCAACAGCCGGGTTATTACTAGAAATTACCCAACGATTTTAGAAATGACCCAACATAGTGACCCAAAATGTGTAACCCAGCGGTTGAGTAAAAAATAACCCAACTTTTTTTTTTACTGTGTCGTTCATTATAATGAACGACAAGTTGCAGGTTTTTTTTTTTGAAGATTTGGAACAAATTACTAGAGACGAGTTTACAATCAAAATGTTTCTTTAGGATGCACTTCCTGGCTAAAACAAGACAAAACAAACCTCCAAATTAGCCACAACATCAATGAGCAGCTTTTAAAGAATGTAGCGGCGTGTCCGAGTAATGCCAAACCAGAGCATTCGCACCGGCCCAATGCTAAACAGAAGAGACGTAAATGACTGGATGTTCTTGGAGGGAAGTTGCTCTGTGTTTGTGAGGTCAGAGGGGTTTCCCCGGTTACTCGCTGGAGGAAGCAAATACTGCCAGTTGTCAATTGTTTTCCCAGTAAAGGAGATTAGTGGCTCAATGGTTATGTGAGAGCGTTTTAAAGAGGTGCTGGCTCATTTTCCACCGACTCACATGGATCCCCTATGGCCACATTTTTACACTTCTCTCCCTCTATGGGGCAGAATAACTCTATTCAGAGCATTCGAGCGCTACGAGAAAATTTTAGCCCGTTGCAGGTGAGAGAATCGTGCATCAGAATCAGAAGCACGAGATAGAGATCTACTGTAAAAAATAAGATTCTGTGGAGATTCTGCTTGACCGATTCACTGCAATTATATAGAGACAAGCAGAGCATAAAGAAAATCATATGGCTTTAGAATAAGACCAGGGTGAGTGAATAATGACTTAACTTTCATTGTTGGGTGAACTATCCTATTAATAAGCTAATTAGCTTTCTACTCCGTTTGAAAGGGTTAAAGTCGGCATAAAAGGGACATTTCTCTAGTCTTTTTTTCTCTATTGTGCCGTATATCACAGTGAAACGCTTCAGGAAAAAGAACAAATGTGGGCGGAGCTTGGTTTTGTCTGTGGGGAATTGATTGGATGATTGGATGGTTGTGGTTTGGAACTTATTCTGATAACATGGAACATGAATTTAGAGCAATAATGATGATGTGCACTGATTAATCATTTAGAATAAACACTGCAATATTCCTATAGCCTGACGTCGTCATACTCAGATTCTAGTCAGCATGTGAGTCTGATACTGCTCCATTGGGCTGTGATTATGGGGCGTTTCAACCGAACCAGGAAAAAAATGCCTCTGCACTCAATTGGATTGACCGAATCCCGTAGGAAGGACGGCAAAAACATCTTTCCGATCGACAAATGCCTTGATCGCGGTTCTCTGTTCCTCTTTTAAAATGAATGCGCTGTCTACATCTTCTATAACAGACGCGATGGCTGAATCTACACATCTCAGTTCTCCAGTCATTCTTTGTTGTAAACAAATTCAACCCAAGCGCTCTTTGGTGACATGGATGATTACGTTACGGTTGATCATCTGTCCATCATCATATAAAGCCCGCCCTGACAATTTGATTGGTCCGAACAGCTTTGGTTGGGGAATACTTGCTTCTCAACGGATCAAGTCCAGACCAGGCATCCAGGCTACAATATTCCATAAAAAATAAAAAACAAACAAGAATTGTCAATTTTGATTTCATGGTGACCTTAACATGCAAAAAATAAATTGATGGGTTGTAAGTGTCAGAAAGAACTGATTATTGATCATTATTACATGGCTCTGTGGAATACTTGATTCTGATTGGTCAATCGAGTCATTATTCCCAGATAACAACCTCTGAAAACAGAAACACAGGCTCATCCGGGTCACTGAAGTCAGCAGCGCTATACGCTCGCTGGGAACGGTTCTTTTCGTGGACGTTTTGCATTTAGTGAGCTAATAAAATATTAAAACTCAATCAAATCAATATTTTGTGTACAGTTATTTAATTATGCCATCCAGTATCGTGGACTCGCTCTCTCTCGTTTCATACAAACGCTCTGCTGCCATTCTGTGGCTATTGTTTTGTACACTGTTGCATAGGATACAAACAGGTACGGTTTTAAAACAGTTTAATCTGAAATCAATATCTCTTATCTCCATAATTATTTATGTGGGGAAATGCTGTGTAATAAGTGTTATGACTGTAAACCGTATCTCTTAAATGTCCGTCTAGTTTGAGATTGCCACTGAAACTGCTCTCTCCACGAAGCTTTGTGTTTAAAGACCTAATGAAATATTTCAACTTAGATCAATATTTTGTGCATTTTCTTATGTGGCAAGTAGCCGTGTAATAAACGGGATAATGTACATCCAGCCGGTTGTTCTAATAAACCCCTTCAGACTAATGCAACACCCTGTCGGGGGGGTTTATTCTGAGATAACAATCGGCTGGATGTACATTATCTCTTACATAATGAACTCAAAGTCAATAACTGAACACATCTTCTCATTCAGAATACATGACACTAGAGCATGTGTCTTAGGATCTTGTTTCAGTGCCAGTTTAATGATGAATAAGAGCAGTCATGGTCGTGTAATTAATCTGTAATTTACACAGGTGTGGGTGGATGCAGGCACTCAGATCTTCTTCTCGTATGCTATATGTCTGGGTTGTTTAACGGCTCTCGGCAGCTACAACAGCTACAACAACAACTGCTACAGGTGAGAGTCCGTCAAGTCATGTGTTTCGTCTAAACATACTTTCTGTTTAGACTGTATCCTCTGCTGTCAGTCGTGTATCGATCAGCCTTGCTCTGGTCACTGTCATCCTACATTGTCTCTGCAAAACTGCTCAAGCTCACTCAGGTTTAATGGAGATCTTTTAGTTGTCCTCTCATAATTGCACTGAGATCTGGACTTGATCTACTTTGCTCTCATCAGACCATAGAAACCTTCATCCCACACATCCCGGTTGCTGAGATATGACACATGAGTTGTTCACCTCAGAATTCAAATTTCATGATAATTTACTCTCCCCCACGTCATCCAAGATGTTCATCTCTTTCTTTCTTCAGTCGAAAAGAAATAAGCTTTCTGAGGAAAACATTCCAGGATTTTTCTTTTCAATGGGGTCCAACGGGTTGAAGGTCCAACTGTCAGTTTCAGTGCAGCTTCAAAGGCTCTACAGTCTAATCTAGCAAAACCATCAGCCATTTTCTAAATAAAATTCACATTTATATACTTTTTAACCACAAATGCTCGTCTTGCAAGTCCACGACTTCACACATTACGTAACCACGTTGAAAGGTCACGCATGTTCCGGTTCAGAAATGTAGAGTAGTGTGAAAAACTCCATCTCATTTTCTCCTCCAACTTCAAAATCGTCTGGACATCATTGTTTTACCTTTTATTTATAAATTTTATTTGTAAATGGCGTTTGACGTCTTTGTACGTTCGCTTAGTAAACACTAGGTCGGTACTTCCGCCTACGTCACGCGTGACCTTTCAACCTTGCAACGCAAGACGAGCATTTGTGGTTTAAAAGCATATAAATGTTTTTTTGTTTTTTTTGTAGAAAATGGCCGATGGTTTGGCTAGATAAGACTCTATTCCTCGGCTGGGATCCCTTCTCATAAACTTTCCCATAATGCTGTGACTAGTAAAGCACGCGAGCAACTGTCTGTTCTGTCTCTCCTTCATTGGTTTTCTGGCTGCTTTCCGCACCTTCTTCAGTCATTCAGATTTGGAAATTTGGAAATTGTCTTGCATCCATCCATCCCTTGCCTTGTCTTTTTGTGTTCTGTTTTCTTCAAGTTCTAAAATAAACTGACATCCACTGCAAAAAAAAAAAAAACAATGAAACGATGTTCTTCCGCAGTATTATTATTTTTCTATACTATTGGGATCTCAATTCCTCAGGTCAGTTCTGACGTAACATCGAACATGACTGTCTGATGGGGAACTCAACATTCTTAAATCAAGATACATTTACTTGAGAAGCAAAATTACTTACCATATTACGTCTTGTTTTCTGAAAAATTTAGTTTTGAGCTTTTCTTCTTCAGTGAATGCATCTATTTAAGAATGTTTAGATATTTGTGTTGGAAAAATAAAAACCAACATACTGAGAAATAACAGTGTTCCATATTCCTGATGTGTATTTATGCGACAATTAATTGAAACGCACACGTAAACTCTTCACTATTTGTGAAAAAAACATTTCAATATTTGTGTGACTTCCAAAAACTAAATAGCTGCACCAGATATGTGTCATATTAATGGGGCTGAATGCTTATGAAATTAAATTTGTTTTTATTTTTTTATATTTTAGATCACTTTTACATGAAAGAGTCTTTTTTCCATGAAAGAGTCTAAAGAGGGGTGAACAGTTTTGCATCTGCTGTGTGTGTGTTTGCAGGGATTGCCTCATGCTGTGCTGTCTGAACAGTGGCACGAGTTTCGTGGCAGGATTTGCCATCTTCTCCGTCTTGGGCTTCATGGCATATGAACAGAATGTGCCAATAGAGGCAGTGGCAGAGTCAGGTGAGCAGAAATTCTCGTTTGGACTTTATTCTAATTAGCCTTGTCTCATTTATATAGAATGTGTAGAGTTAGTTTGAGTGTATGTTTGATATACAGTGACCTACAGTTGCATGTCTAAGGCTTGTGTGTTCAGACTCATGCAATTTAAAGCACTTCTCAGGAAAGCTTTTTATTGTATGACTTATTCAACAATTCAGCATTACTTATTTACTACAATAGAGCAAGACTGACTATGGAAGCGACTGAAACACACTTTGAAGGGGTCTAGAAATCATCTGACATTATTATTAAGAAAAAGATGTTATTTCTATTTATTCAAAAACATATATTCAGCTGATGAGCCACAACATTAGAGCATTGGTTCTCAAACATAATATAGAAAAACAAGTGTTCAGCCACTATCATTTAAAAAAATAATCCATAAACCTTGTTTAATGAGCTTTTACTACAGCTCCACTCATGGCATTATATAATGAACAGTAGCTGTGAGTTCATATTATAGCATATTTCTCTGTTGTTATGGCACAGTGATCTCTGCTCTTGGCCTGCTGCTTTTGGACAGTGTCTCTGTACTGTAAAACCAGAGCCAAGCCACATGGCATCGCTATTTCACCAGGACCGTCATTGAGATAATTAAAGAGGAGCTATTATGCCCTTTTACAAAGTTGTTTTTGGGCTCTACTTGAACAGGTTTTCCTGCTTTAATGTTGATTATTTCCTCATATTCTCCATTGTTGCAGCTCCTCTCTTCCCAGTCTGTCAGTAAAGCTCTGGCGTGCGTTTCCCGTATAACCATTCCCGTATAACCATTCCCGTATAACGATTTCCCGTATTCCCGATTAAACTCAGAGAGTGTTAGTTATTTGTCTGGTGACGTGTATTGCAGGTCCTGGTCTGGCGTTTATAGCGTACCCTAAGGCTGTGACCATGATGCCCTGGTCTCCACTGTGGGCCTGCCTCTTCTTCATGATGCTCATCTTCCTCGGACTCGACAGTCAGGTCACAAATGCACACATTTGTAACCTTTAATAATTCACTCGAGAATACAATTACTGCCACTATCAGCTTGTTGTTTGAAAACAAGGTAATAATATTAATATTTACAACATTTCATATTTGATATTGTTAATTAGTGTTTTTTTCTTTCTAATTTTTGCAGTAAAACTGCTGTGGTTGTTGTTTACAGAGAGCCCAAAATGTTGGACTCTGTCGCCCCACTTCATGAATGTCACTGTATTATAGGCCTATACAAAATATCAAAACAATTACATTTTTCAATTCAATTCACATTTAGCACTTTTCATAATACACATCGTTTCAACGCAGCTTTACACAAAATGTCCACATTACAATTTAGAGTGATCTGTTATCTTAGTTATGCATTTCAGAAATGTACATATACAAATCACAGCTAGCTAAAAATGTACTAATTTAAACAATGTGATAATTTAAGGCAGAAACAAGTATTGGCTATTGTAAAAAAAAGATAACAGAAACACTTTTCAAAAAGTGACGGTAGTGAGGAGAAACTTTCTAGTTTTAGTTAATGATCATAATTCCTCTCTGTCTAGTTTGTGTGTGTGGAGAGTCTTGTGACCGCGGTCATCGACATGTATCCCAAAACCTTCCGCGTGGGATATCGGAGAGAGCTACTCATCCTGGGAATGTCTGTGGTCTCCTTCTTCCTGGGTCTAATAATGTTAACAGAGGTAAATCATTACTTTATGTTCTTTCCAGTGGTATCAGTATTTCCTTTGATTTGTGCTGATATTCAGTACGACACAACCCAGCAAGCAATAGCCGTCATTTCTCCGTCTAGGTTAACTATAGACCCGATATAGTCCGGCTGTGAGTAACACACTTCTAGCCAAAATAACCTAGAATTTGGTTACATGTCGTTTTTGCCAGAATAACTTGCGAGATGTGTGATATTCCATCATGTAAGTAAAGTCAACAGTGTTTACAAGCTGTTTAGTTTCATTTCTTCACTCATTTCATTTCTTTGTTGTCTAATTGTTGACTAGTCTATTCTCGGGCGATGTTTTAGACATCTATTAAATGTTCACTGACAGCCCACATTTTTCCTTGTTTTAGCCAGACGTCAGGGCTGTGTTTGGACGGCTATTAGACGTCTTTTAAACGCAAAATTGCTTGCTGGGAATCTTCCATCACAGATTGATGAACATAGATTTGTTGTAAGCACGCTTCGACACAATAATTAATCTCGTAAAATAAGCATAATACAAGATAATGACAAATCCAGGTGTCTTGTTCGTCAAGGACAAGCAGATTTGCTGTTTACATGATCATGTTGGTTTGACATGCTTGGGTTCATTCAGTTAATTGTTAACCTATGATGCTGGTAAACCATTTTGAATGTGTAAAAAAGCGAGATTTGTAGTGGATTTTCCCTGTAATGACAGAGACTGAGTCGTTGCATATTGCGGTTGGCACCTGGCATGTTTCTGCTCGCGTTTATGGCTGGAGTGAGTGTAAAAATAGACAGGAGGACGCTCTCCACCAGTAATGTGCAGTCAGGTGAACGCTTTCACTCGGTGTTTCTTGAATAAAGCCATCCAACTGTGGAACGAAGCCTCTCCGGTGTGACATTCTCTGTTACTAGGATGAGAGGGAGATGAAGATGCTTTGAAAGACATTTTCTATATGGCAGTAGTGCTCTCAATGCTCAAAATACAGTGAGCATATAAGCATGGTTTTGTGATATTGTCACTAGCTGTGTTTGCGAATATGGGCAGAATTAGAATATCGCATACAACATTTGTGAATAAAGCAGTGTTTCCATCCCATGTGTTCAAGAGGACAAAATAAGAAATTGGTGCAAAAGTTTCTGCAATCGGGCTCTTTTTCCCTCCATCATAAACGAGTGTGTGTCGAGCGTCAGACGAAACACAGTAAACACTGTCATGTTCTCTTGCGTTCTGATGCTGGTGTTCGGGAACACACTCGTGTGTGTGAGACGCTTCTGGAGGGAATTAAACCCAATCATTCTGATCACAAACTTTTGCTGCGTCTCAAATCGCCTACTTATGCTACGCCCTAGAAGTATGTACTCTTTTTGTGAAGAAAAAGTAGATACTTTTGAGTGTGTAGCAAAAGAGTAGACAAGCTTTGGGACATACTATCAAGTAAAATGACCTGTCAATCATCTTGTCACAGTTAAAATCCTCCACATTTCATTTCCTACCGTATCGGAGAGATATGGAGAAGCTTGTTGATCTGCTTTCATGCGAGACTCTCCGCATGTTGATGCATAATGATTTAAAAGTTAATGGCCAAACGGATCTTTATAAAAGTCCACAATGTTGTTGCAGATTAAATTTAACACGGATAACATTAAATAAATATTTGATTAGTCACTCAAACCTCGCGCAAATCCGCCATGTTTTGTAAAACTTTTTACTTGTGTTTGTAATGCGAATTTTCTTAAGGATTCTTGAGTTTTTTTTTTTTTTTTTTTTTTTTCTCCTTGTGTGAATGTTACTATAAAGCACGGTGCATTGGAATATTGTAATATGTAGATGTGTACGCTATGTGGAATATGATTGTTTTTTATTGATTTTAATGTATGTTTTTTGTTGTTGGTTTAATATAATTGCCCGGTAATAGTAGACGATCCGGGGACTTCTGGCATACTTTATTCAACACACTATGCTTTGGGACACACTTACTCTAATCTCACATAGCTACTATTTAGGATGGATAGTATGGCAACATTTGAGATGCTGCGATGCCATTGGTCCGCTGGTTAATCCAGTTATCCAATCACAGCCTCTGCTGAGGCATCAACGGATTTATTCGGTAAATGTGTTTCCATCGCAGTTTAAGTGCATCAATGTTTATCCGCCTCAATTGAGCCATACGTTTTTTATCCACACTTGTATAATTTATGCACATCTTGGCATTACCGTCCAGCGTTTTTGTTGCAACATCACAGAATTTGGTTGTGTGCTACACTGTACATATCATGCTACACCCCCAGTAGTCTCTGTTGTGTTTCATGTTCGTCCTGTATTTGCTCTATCAGGGTGGCATGTACGTGTTCCAGCTCTTCGACGCGTATGCAGCCAGTGGCATGTGTCTGCTGTTCGTGGCCATCTTTGAGTCCATCTGCATTGGCTGGATCTATGGTAAGACATTGCTGCATTTCTGACTATAACAATATTCATCAATTAATATTCACATCTTCTGTACTAAGCATCTATAGTCACCATCCGCTGACGAGTAATCTCTCTCTGAAGCAGTTTTTACTCCTTAACTTCCAAATGTTATCTGGCATTTAATTTCCTGGTAAGTGTTACAGAGCAAAAACAAAGATTGACACCATCCAACATATAAAAAGGCCACTAATCAGATGCTAGTGCTTTCGTTAAGAGTACACAAAGTAGTACACTACAAAAATCTCTCTCTAATTCAGTTTTTCTCCTTAACTTCCAAATGTTATCTGGTATTTAATGTCCTGGTAGTTACACTGCAAAAACAATGATCTTCCTCAGTATTTTTGACTTGTTTTCCAGTACAAATATCTAAACATTCTTGAATCAAGATACATTTACTTGAGAAGGAGATCGAGAAAAAAAAATCGAAATGAAGTGAGAAATAATATCTGTCTGTGGGATCAGAAAAATAATCTTTTAAATAACTTTTTTTTTCTGACCCAACTGGCATAATTGGCCATTAGCACTCACTTAATTTTGATCAATTCTTCAGTAAACAAGCCAAAAATACTGATGAGTAAAAAAATTTTTTTTGCAGTGATGTCTAGCATATCTTTATGAATAACCTTCCATGGAAAAAAGGTCTATGGAGATAATAAATCCATTAAATTTCTATCAAACAATGTCACATTTTGTCACACGATGTTGCAAGACCCACTGTAATCCATCAGAATCTGTCATTATTAGACATGCATGGTGTGCCAGCAGATGCTTTTCTGTCTGAATTATTAATGTCAATGTTTACAGTATTATCAGATTTCTGTAACTGTAATGCCACCTGCTGGCAGGAGTCAGACAGTGCATGTAATGAATCATTGAAATATGTTTTCAAGCAAAGAGAAACAGCCATCTCAGTGTCCTTTTTTTACCTATCCATTCAAGAACTATGGGCCCCTACTTATAAGCTTTTTTTGCTTCTTTGGGAGACCCATTTCACTGTACCCAATCTACTCTGGACAATTAAAACTGTATTATTGTAATGCTTTAAGAGGTACTGTGAATAAACTGAAACTGAAACTGAAACTTTAAATACAAGTTTTATATGTGTAGTAAATACATACAGTGTATTTTGCTGAGAGACATTTTAAGTGAATATCAGAACCACTGATCTTTCTCCTCAGGTGCCGACAGGTTTTATTCGAACATTGAGGACATGATTGGATACAAGCCCATCTTCTTCATCAAATGGTGCTGGAAGTACTTCACACCCGGCATCTGTGCTGTGAGTTGAAGTCGATGTACCAAGAGTCGAGATATTTACTGTCTGTGAGGGATAAATGCTGAGTTCTTGCTCATATGATTTTTTTTTTTAGGGCATCTTTCTGTTCTTCTTGATCAAGTACAAACCGCTGATGTATAATAATGTGTACACGTATCCAGACTGGGGTTATGGGATCGGCTGGATGATGGCCATGTCCTCTATGGTTTGCATTCCTGTGGGAATCATAGTCCAGATCTGGAAAACGAAAGGAACTTTCCGTGAGGTAAAAGCCTTTTTTTTATTCTAGCTTTTTTGTGAATTGTGCGTGTGTGTGTGTGTGTTACATGTTATAGTTTGTTAAGTTTGCACAACATGGTATCAGAATAACAGATTAAGTTGCATTGAAAAATTAACATGAATGTGAAAATGTCTCGATATTTGATTTGTCTTTTGCTTTAATGACACCTAGAAATAGAGCACGATCTGAACATATTTTTCTTCATTTTACATAACGTTTCAGCAGCGGCTATTTACACAAAGTGCAAAGTCCAAATAGCGATAGATGGAATTTACAGTAAGTGTAAGTATAGCAACAAAAAGTATTTTCTTTGCACTAAGAAAGATGCTGTATGCACTTTGTGTAAATAGTTGTTCGATGCTATTTATACAATGTGTATGCATACTAGTTGCACCTCAGTGTATTGTAGTATAAAACAGTATGCAGTTGTAACCTAGAGAGCCTTTTGAAATCAGAGGAGTGAGGTTTACTCGCACAGCAACTACTAGCTGGCCTCCGTTACACTCACCCCCTAAACCTCACTCCCATCCGGGTCACGGCACCAATGTAACCCCTCCACCCGGGTCCCACTCGACCTGCTCCGAGCGGGCCTCCGGCATGAGAGTCAGGCGCTCTAACAAGGAGGCTAAAGACTGCAGCCTCTAGCATCTGTCGCTAGAGAGCCTTTTGAGATCAGAGGAGTGATCTGATCTCGCAACTACTAGCTGGCCTCCGTTACACAGTGATAACAACATATTCAGTGTATATGATTATATTTATTAAAATCATAAATGGATGCTATTTTATTGGGACATTACTTGTCTCTGTCCCTAAAGCCCTACACTGACCCCAGACCCATCCGATAAACACTTTATTTCCACTATTAAACACCCGTCAGGCATTTCATTACCACTAAAAAAAAAAAAAAAAAAAAATGCTACTCCGGGCTAATATGCAATGAGAAAAGGGAGAAGAATGAGTTAAGTAAATGGCGAATTTGAACTTGGGTCATTGACGTCAAAAGTGAACATCACCCGTTACTCTCTGTTATCAGACAGGTTTCTTTTGTCATTTTATCTGGTTCAATCAGACAAATGATTTTAGATAGGAGCTAGAAAGTATTTTTCAGCCTGTACTTGAGAAACAAACATCACATCTCTTGAGGTGTCGTGACTTGCCGAAGATGAAAGTTGTTCTGGCACTGTGATGTAGAGATATCGTGAGCGAAGCACAGACTTGATGGCACAGTGTGGGCGCGGGCAATGCCCTGACGTGACCCCATTGTGCCATATCGTATTGATTGTGTCTGCTTAAAAAAAACACACAGAGCTGTGTGATGAGGTTAGTGTACAACACTGCATAAATAATCAGTAATTTTCCACAAACATATCTGAAGAGCTTTAAAACAAGAAACAAGCAAAACACTGAGTGAGAGGCTGGTCACACAGAACGCGTTTTTCCATTCCACTGCACTACCTTTCCATTGTTTTTCTATGTAAACCAAGCGGCAACCTTCCGTTCTCTCTTGAATCAACACTGAAGTGACTTAAACTGCAGTTCATCGACTGGCCACTAGAGACCAGCTGCAGAAGAGACTCAATCCCATAGATCTGCATGTTAAAATGCTCAACTTTACAGCAAAAAAAAAACATTTACAGCCTGGTACAAAAAGTGGTTTTGGTTTATATAGATAATTTTGCCCTTCATGAAAACTGTGAGGGGTGTGCATTTTTTAAAAAATTTTTACTCATCCGTTTAAATTATATAAAGCCTTAAAGTTGTGCATAATTAAGGGC